GATCCTGTCCCTCTTCTAGGCTTTGTCCTTGAGGGTGACCCCGTATCTTGCAACAGCTCCCAGTTTTTAATGGTCGCAGCGCCAACACTTTTCTTTGATCCTCTTCTATTTTTGAGGTGCTCAAACTTTTGGAATTCTGCCTTTCGTTGATCTCTTATTTAGTTCTTTGAATTCGGCACCGAACTTCAAAACGATTATGTAGTTCTCGCTATAAAAAGAGTTTAGTGCCAGCTCATTTCTCAGAAATGAACGTCATCGGGGAGCAGCTCATAGGAGCAGATAGGTGATAATCACTGGTTGAAATGTCTCCCTCTTCTCTTGCGCTTGGATCAATTACAATTGGACAAAATGAGCAATAGGGAGTAGAGATATGGCTGTTTTGAAAACTCGGGACAGCCAAGAAGCGCTACTGGCAAAGGAGAGCTGGAGCAGTGAGTCGTGAGTGGCTCCGCTTATCACACACGGTATGTAGAAAGTTTTAGTGATATCCCGTTAGGCCAATCAGAGACTGCATCTCACTGTGGGTAAATTTGTGCCAGACTCCGGAAGGCTAAAAACTATGGCTTGCACAACGACTGACTCCGTCTTATCATATAAAACTCTTCCAGGCTAAAATCTCGCATCTCGCAAACTACAGTTGATTTCGTTGATTCGGTTTTCTAGGGCTGTGGCTTTTGCTATTACAACCATAACTTTTGCCCCAGGGTTAACTATTCGAACCAATTGTGGCTGCGGTTGGGAATTGATAGGTAACAATACACATGGCGCATTCTACGATGAAGTTGATCAACTGTGTGTCATTAGATTCATCACTCACTGGCAGTGGAAATTCTTCCGAGCTGAGCTCACTAAAAACTTATCCTTCAAATAAAAAGGAGCATAAATCAATTCTAGAACGTGGACCGCCGCCATTCTCTTTGTGTGGTTCCGCTTCACTAATTATTTCCCTGGCTTTCGCTGTCTCTCACTGCCGTTTCCTTTCGTCTCTCCTTAGCTGGCATACAATATGATCAGATTTCAATGGGATTGGATTCCTCGAATTCTAAGTTGCTCCCAGTGTTCACACGCACGACCAAAAAGAAGTGTAGCGGCATGCATTAGTTATCAGCTGTTCCTTACACTTCTTTCGAGCTAGAGTCCTTCCGAGCTAGAGAAACGGCTGACTAATAAGGGGTGGGGGGATCTTTCAGGACACGGAGCGTTCTTTCAGAATGGCTTTCTGAATGTTGTAGAGGCTGCTGTGAGGAACACAGAAGCACTGTTCATTTGTATTTATTTATTTTATTTACTATTGCACAAATGAGACAAGCAAAGATATACATATCAAATAGGAAACGTGACACAATAGTGAGTGGAATATATAAATATATGCATATACATGTACAACAAAGTAATAAAGTAATAGGGGAAGCTTAGGAGATAGCACAGGAATTCACGGCAAAGTTATGAAAAGGAAGTTCAAAAAGAGAATTCGAAATGTAGCTTATTGGTTAATAGGGCACGGGGGGGGGGAGATCCAAGGGCCCACCTAGGAGGGAAGGGCAATGGCCGGCCAACATTGCAAGTCGCCGAGCGGGGAAAGCGACTCCGGATACCAACTTAGTAGGTCCGCCAACCCCTCCTAGAGCCGTAATTTAGGTAGCGGAATAGGGAAGGGGGATACTGGGCTAAATAGGGAATAGTGCGGTTGTTGTTGGTATTCAGAGGAAAAACAATCCAATTAAATGATATAAACAAGGAGGTTAATGGCGGTAGATCATTACAAGAGAACGATAGATAGGAGGAGCCCAGTTAAGGGAAGCGAACAAGGAAGGAGAGAAGGATCAATTGTGTTGGCTGAAACATCGATTCTGCTGTCTGAAACATTGAAACGTAAGTGCTGTCCAAGATAGTCACTGCAGCGTAATCGAAATCGCTTCAGTTATCGATCAGGTCCCCTACCTAAGGAACTAGTCAGTCACCAACCGAAAACGCGCAAGACCTCATTGTCCAATACAGGAGTAGCAAATATGAATGATAGAGCTCTTTGCAAACATTGTGTGGTGGTATTGTATAGGTTTGTGTAGGTTTGTGTGTGTAGGTTAGCGCCTCCAAGTTGCGCCAAAACACGACAATGACATCTACTCTCGCGCGATAGCGCCGTTTGGCGGTAAACTGGGGGACCAGGGGGGCGCAAATATATTGCAAAAATTAGTCATCACCGGGGATCGAACTCTGGACCATTTCTTCACCACTGTTTTGACATTCCTGGAGGCGTTCAGGAAAAATGGATCATGGTTCTGTGTTCCTCGCATGAGCCTACAACATGCAGAAAACCATTTCGAAAAAGCGCTCCATGTCCTGAAAGACCTCCCTTGTGAGGGACCTATGAGCAGCATTAAATTTCGAGTTCATAGACTACACAAACGAACCATAGACATTAATATTGATATTTATAATACTATTCGCGTATTAGGTTTAGTGGCTAAAGGCGACGCATTTTGCTTACCATTTCCATACGATCAAATCCTGTTCATCAAAAAGAAAAAATAAGATACGCCCGAATCGGTCTTCAAATCAGGGTCAACTGCGCGTTGTGCATTCCTCAGTTTGAGGGGAGTAATGATATTTTCGGAGGGAGGGGTCGTATTCGGGGTTGGCGAAGACTAGAAGGTTGTAATGGGAGAGGGGGTTGTGCCATGGTGGCGCTAGAGGTATCGTTCTGGCGATCTTTCCGAAGTTTTGTTGAAATTTTGAAAAAAGATTTTGAAAAGTGGAAAAATGAAGTGGTGTTGAAATTTTGAAAAAAATGAAAAGTGGAAAAATGAAGTGGGTAAGAATGAGGAGGATGAGGATTCGAGGCTTTATTACATAGATTTGTCCTCCTCTCTTCCCCGACGGCCGTTGTGGAGGGAAAATGTGGACGGTGTTGAGGCATGTCGACAAGGTCACATAATCAAATACTATAGAAAAGCCATGGTAGTTGAGAATTTGGCGATCGAGAGTGCGAAGGGAAATTGTAAGGGGAGAGGCTCCCCTGATGGTGGTGATAAGGGATCGTACCAAACCCCCGTACATAGGTGGAAGGGTCGACAAATTTTTAGAATCTGAATCACGGAAGGTTGACCCTGCTTCCAACACCATCCATTTTTGGGAACTTGATACGCATTCAAAGCTTTCCACAAATATCATGTTTATCGAATGTGCGGCGCAAACTTTTACAGAATCATCCATGTCATGTCATACTTTATCTCTTATCATTATCTCACGTGTTTTACTCTTTTTATTCCAACTAGACTTCTAGATGTTTCCGTTGTATTTCTTTGTTGCATTGATTTCTGATGCGAAGATCCTTTCTGAACTGATTTTGGTTTTTCTTTGTTTTTAACCTCTTTTTTCAGACGTTTTCAGCGATGCAAAATCCAATGTGATGGTCGCAATTAGTCTCCTATTCATCTTCGAATTTTCAATATGGTAGCCGGGAAACGAAATCAAATCGGTCACGTCCCAATGAAAGGTTAGTGGAGCAACAAGTACCGCTATATTTTCAGCAGAATGCTGTCACTAAGAAATCAATCAAAGTCGACTGGGGGTCTGAATGGCACGTCTCGTCTTGTGGTTTTCGCTACTTTACCCCTCCTTAACCCTTCAAGTTGCTTTTCCGCATTGCATAGTAAATTACTATCAGATTCTAATCCACGAGTCCATGTATGTTATTACCGTTACCTCGGTCACAGCTTACGGTTTATTCAATCCTACTGAAGGACGGAGTGTACTGTTAGGGCGGTATCCGTGAAATCACAATTGGCGACTCAAGTCCAACCCAATAAACAATATATAGTATTGCTTCCAGTGATAGAAGTGATAGTAAAATTTACTCTTTTTTTGATTTGCTTGAATTCGGATAGGAAGATCAGAAAACTGTAGTTCTCGTTTTTTGCCCCTCTATCTTTTGTGAAAGATTTCTATTCACATAAGTGTTTTTATGTTCATTTTTATTTACCTATTTTCTTTCCGTAGAGTTAGCTGTAGAACAGAAACGCGCTCGTTGCTCCTTTCATGACTGCCGAATCGTGCGATGCGAAAGTGATACCTCGCGCCTATTAACTTCAACTCGTATTTACGAGCTTTTGTAATGTGCTCTTTCCTGTGAAAAAAAATAGGAAGGGCATGAATAGCCTTCGAAGGTAGTCTAACGCAACAGTTTTGGCCACCGAATGAAGGCAATCGCCCTGATCACAGCAGATTCAAACTGGGACAACCAAATCTTCGAGTGCCAGCTGCCTAAATAAACTGGCTGTAACTGTGAGTACGGTCAAGGTGTAAATTGGTAAAAGTGCCTGGAAGATCGTGTTATTTATTTATTTATTTATTTATTGAAGACGTGAGCAATGGCCACGTGAGAAAATTCAACAAAATCAATGGAACTTGTAACAGTCAAAATCCAAGGATACAAAAACGCAGTGTGCTATAGAACACTAAAATAAATCGCGATTTCAGGTATTGGAGTCTCTGGAAAAAACGAAGGGGTCGGGAATTGTATGTTTGTGGAATTTGAAGGGGTCGTTGATGCGAGGGGGAGTTCATTTTTGGTTGAGTTTTTGAGAGGTGTGACGGAAACTTCACAAAGCAAGCTCGAAATAGACACCAACTACGAGTATTCTGTTTCGGCGTTCTGAATTTTCTCACCGCCTTCCCCCTCTCTCGCCTCCCACTTGGCACTAAGTTTTGAAGGGGAATGAGTGTGCGGAGTTAGAGTGTGTGGACTGGTCTCAGGATCGAATATTATAGAAACAGATATGGTGGTGAGGGTGCAGGTAGGGGTTTTGCATGAGGGAAACTCCTCATGAGGGTTGAATGGTGGTAGCGGTGTGGTAGGACTTTTTTGAAAATGCTAACGCCGAGGCTAATCCTGGCTACAAGGCCTAAGGCCCCTAGCGACTTTGTTCGAAGGTCAACTATCTTTCAAATAGCGAACCTAAACAAAGTTCATAAAGTGGCGCACGCCCACTGCATTGACAGTACCTTCATGACCCGTTTTATCTCTGAATTTTCTTCGAAAAAACTTGTTGGATATCTTCTATTGCTGATATCTCTTATTGCGAAACAAAAAAAAAACAAAAATTGTGTTTCCGACGTTCGGAGTTGTTCCTAACAAATGACAAATTCCAGTGAGGCGGAATGGGATAAACAAAGGTCTTATGTTTGCATTGAAACGACTCAATCAGGGATTAGCTGTACTTGCTTGGGTTTGTCTGGTGTCTGGAATGAGACGGCGTCGTAAATAAATATGTTCAGAGCGAACCAGGGAAGATAGCAACTGAAGAAAAGAATATAGAAATTTTTCTAAGTGGTCCTATAGCTTGCCTTCCGCTTCCAAACGATCTTCTTGCGAAACTGAACTCTTCACGTACCGGACTTTTTAGTCTGAACTGACGGGCCAATTTGCCTTTTTCTTACTACTTTGAAGAAACAAGAAAGTTGGCATCAGAATTCGTCTAAGAAAATAAAACTAAATCTTTCGAAAAATCTTGGTCACAGATTTTAAGCCCTTTTAGCAACATAAGCAGTTTTTTCAGGTAATCTCTGGAGAGCGAAACAGCGCTCCGAGATTAGTCCCAATGTTAGCGTCGAATTTGCAAGGTTCGCCAAACATTGTAAGACGACCACATCGGAGGACACCGGCATCACCTACCACTATTCACCTAATGGAACCGTTTATCCTCTGGCCGAGGTGAGTCAAAGTTGTCTGGAAAGGCAAAGAGAAAAGTGACTGCACCCAGGCCAAGGTCTTCGGCAAGGATTGGTTCCTCCGCCAGAGAAACGAAACTAGATTTTGGAACATGTGAAAGGAGAAATTTATTGAGCTACTTTTTCGAAGTTCAAAGAAATTCAAAAAACCCACAGAAATTCACTAAATTTTATACAAAAACGAAAATTACGACGAAATTCTCACGTGAGACGTGCGTTTCTCCTCTTGGCTTAGGTCACCACAGATCATTGAAGCTTAAGTTTGGGTTTAGACTTAGGTTAAGGCTTATGCTCACACACTGGCTTATGCCTAAGCCTATGATTGGGCCTAGGCTTAGTCCTAAGCTTGCTCCGAGCGAATGAACGGCGTCTCAATTTAAGGTGACCTTACCCAGGAGGAGAAAAGCCACGCCCCTAATTCCCACAGATCTCCTGTTTTAACTGTATTATATTCCTCATACTCGGCAGTGGTTTTGGGCGGTCAGGTATAGCTTCGCTCGAGTTGGGCGACCAATCGCTAGCGAATAGCGCGATTTGCCACTCAGTCGGTCGCAAAGTTTGGCACCTGCTCATCTACCATCATCCACCCATATGTAGTACAATGGTGTACTAATCAGAAGACATTGCAAGGTGATAACAGCACGGTGATGGTTAGCACTGCCTGATACTAAAGGCGGGTTTCTGCATTAAAAGAGTGCTTTTCATACGTTATCCGTTTACGGCTGCCCCAAGATCGAACTAGTGTGGTTTTGCGCACGAATGCGAATGTGTAGGTGCGAAACGGCTGACAGTGAAGAAAAAGGTAAAGAATTCGTCGAAAACGGCTAGCTTAAGGGCTTACCCACACTCCCTAGAGTTAAGGCAACGAGAGACTGAGAGCGGAGAGGAGAGTATGAGGCAAGAGAGCGCAAAAGATGAAGAGGTGCCAGACCCTGATAGAACAAGAAAGTTGCAGCTCTGCAAGCTCCTTTGCAACAGTCCTAGCGGGGTTTGTTTGGCTTATTTCCCTGCACGGTGGCCCACGTGGTGCGAATTTTCTCTAGAGGTCTACCCCTACCCGGCTGAAGGAATATTCACTAACAGAACTTCTGCTCCGCTGTGGCTTTAATGATCTGTTCACTCCCCTTTTTTGAGTTCACTACCCTTCTAAAAAAAGCTGCAAGATTACGAGTAATGCCTGCACCTTTTAGTACGACCAAACAATTTGTGCGTATTCATTGGATACGAATGCTGACGGAGCGAAATCGTATGCCGCCAAATATGATCTGTAAGTGAATTGTGTCAAGTAGCTTCGAATTTTTCTAGTTTCATGCTCTCTATCTGATTCTTTTTAAGAACTTCACATTATACTTTGCTTGCGATGATACTTGTTGCGCTATGGAATGTTGTCAACGGGACATAGAAATGACAATCATCCGTGATCTACTCCCATTCGTCAAATATTGCTTGCTCTGGATAAATCGTATCGGTTAAATTCAACAAAGGATAGACAACATGTAAATCAAAATAGTTCGCTAAAACGGGCTTCGCGCCCCTTAACACCTTGGAGCCCACGCAGCCCATATGTGGGCTGCAGCCCTCCGACCGCATAGGACCTTTCAGCTCGCATTTCGGAAACAATTATTAGGTTTTTCATTCATTTTCTTTTCCATTTTATCCGATAAGATTTCTTCTGCATTACACAACGGGTTCTTCTTTTGAATTTGCTAGATAAGATCCCTAAAAATCTCACCGAAGTCCCGCGCGGCCGCGGAACGTAAAACACGCGCGGTCTCCAAAGTGTTAATTGAACTCAACCTTATAATTTTCGCCCTATCTCTGGATCATAAGATAGTTGGCTTGAGAAATAAAACTCCCAGGGAAATCGAAATCTGGAGATTGCCGAACAAATTAATTTGTAAATGTGGACTGGTAAAAAATCAAAACGACGATTTATGGTATCAAGGGATTGAAATGCAAAAAAATTATAGGGTGAAAGTGGAGATCTAGTAAGTGGCAGCGAAATTTTCAACCTCCTCTTTTCTTTTCCCTTCCCCCCCCCCTCTCACAAAACCTCAAGAATAATCGTGGTAAGCTCAGGCTTACTGCCGTATTCATAAATTAAGGTCAAGAGTTCGGGCTCAGACCCACCTAAGAAGCCTTAACGTGAACAAGTGGCTAGTTACGCAAGTGAGGAGCGATCGCGGTCACCTTCTAGCACTGAAAAAAAGTTACTAAGACGCTGGACGCTAACGACTTTGGCAACTCCACCATGCCCCGCCCACCGTTAGATATCTTGTCTGCGTCGCTAACTGTTGCCATGCTCTCTCTACTCGGACTATTCCACCACTCCCGCGCTCACATTATCTATCATCTCCATGCCTCTATTGGAATTCTCTTGCGGCGACTGATCAGACGCTCGTTGTTTCCTTGGTCATTTCACGATTTCTTTCTCGCTTTTTTCCTTCCTACTGACAGTCCATCCCTCCCGCCCAATCAAATTTAATCTGATCTTTCCTTTGAATCTATATGCTGGTGAACGCGACGATCGCAAGAGGGCATTCTGACAGCGATTTCGTCTGCTCGATGCTACCGGATTCTTATTTCATCTGCGCTAACGACTGCGTCGCTAAAGCGCAGCATTGACGGCAACATATGCCTGCCGTTGGCCGCATTCTAACGGGATTTTCGTGCATGTCTAAGTAAACCTAGCCAATTTTCCGCATCCCACTTAAGCAACCAGGTAGTTTAACGAATTGCAAATAGCGAGGGAAGTGGCCGTTGTCGTTTTCGAATCATTTAGAATCCGCAGTGCAGGGGATTCTGCATAATTGAACTGGATTCCAATACATCTGTCACAACAACCATGTAGCCATCGAAGTCATATTAATTCTGGTTGTTTCAGAGGGCGTCTTTCGTTGATCAGCATATCGGTGTTTATCCTTGGTTTCTATGTGTCTGTTTACTTTGGGGGTCCTTATATGTGCCTGGAGGAATGGAGCACTCGGTCGAGGACGGACGGTCAGCGCACGTTCGCCTTCACATCGAAAAGAGAGCTCTGTGATCCTCAAAAATGGAACGTTTGATGCGTGCTGATTGTTCTTCGAATTAACTGAGGTAAACCATTTTTTGCAACTCTTAATATTCTTGTTCGAATACAATGGATTGGCAATACAACCTACGATCCTTCAAAATAGTGTCTAAAAAAAGTCTAAAATAAAACCCTACGATCCTTTGAATACGTCGCTATGAACAAAGCGACTTCATTTTTTCCTCGCTGCCCCCCCCCCCAAGTACAGGGGGCAGCGGGACAAAAGGACGTCGCTTGTTCATAAGCGTTGCATAGGCGAAATTTCTAAGTTTTCACAGTAGAGTAACATTATAGTGAAGGCACGTGGAAGCTTGTAAAATGTCCTGAAACGTTTCTCAGCTGGCAAGATTGGACCATTGCCCATTGTGCTCCCTGCCTTCGTGTTGTGAAACATCACCGAGTTCAAAGAGGCCTGTCATGGTTACCTAGCCTCAATCAGCGTTGCGTAATGTCTCTATCTTGGAGGTTTTTGACAGCCTCATGGCAAGCTCCCCCAACATACTATCTCCCGTACCTCCCATGTCCCCCCTTCCGCTGACTACTACAGGAATTCGCGAGTATCTGAAATCCAGGGTATATATCTGACGATGTTGTCTATTCTATAGGTTGTCCTTTCTTTTCGTCAATTCCATGGAGTTGGGGTTCACAGAGTCGCGCGCACCTGCATTCAGGCTGTCGGCATAGGTTACCTGCATAAACGGTGTTCTCCTAGCTTCTAAACTCCACACAACAAGAAATGATGTCCCTTACCCAAAAGCTACAGCCCATGGTATATAGTACTATGACGGTTTTGCAGCCTAGACACCGGCCCCGATTCATGCTAAACTCTTTCATGGCAAGAAGCTGACACATCTCCACGGATAGGTGGTAGCATTCGATTACACTTTGAATGAACCGAAGGGGGCATAAGGCATCTTTTTCGTTTGTCTTCAAACTATTCTTCCCTTGTTAATACTCAAGTATACTAAACTTCTCTGATAGAGACTTAATCAAGTCTACCTGAGACTAGAGAATAGATAAGTCATGACCAGAAATTTCAGGGACAGATACACGGGTCGTCCTCTAATAAAAGACGCCTTTTTTGAGTCAGAATTATTATTTCTTCTAGCGAATCTGATTGTAAGAAGTAGAGTACAGGAAGAAAAATGGGAGGAATCCCCAGTTTGCGACTGAAACTTACTGCAGTTGTCGTAATTTTTTACAGCTTCAGATGTAGAATGATAGTGTAGATTCAAATATTTGTCGTTCAATTCCTCAGGCACTGGATGCTGAATCAACAATCAACTCATTTTAGCATTCGTTTCCTCAAGTGCTTTAATGTCACATACGCAGTACAACAAAAAGCCACTGAGACGTATTTGCCATACCTCATGTCAAACCTTCTATTTTTAGCTGATTTTTGCCAACATTTTTCACGCTCTATCTATTCTCCTTAGAGTGAAGTTGAGAGATCAATTCCCAATGGGAATGACTTTTCCTGGGAAATCCAGAAAAGTGGCGAAGTTTCGAGTGAGAATTGTAGATTTTTGTGTGAAATGTTTTCTGGTTGCTCTCTTTTTTTAAAAGGTCCAGAGAGGGTACATCTTCATTTTGTGATAACACTATCATTTTTTATGAAGTGTAAAGTAAGTCATAGCTTACTATGTTGAGGAAAGTGTGATAAATATTCATTTACCCGAAATAAGGAGTTTTTTTTTTGATGGTTCAACATTGGAAGGACGGTGTGAGGGTTTGCGAATCCACCGTCGCTAGCGATCTGGAGAATTCGGGCATGTTTCAGATGAATCCACATGTCAGCTTTTTCGAGCGATCGTGCATTGTTCGACGATGTACCATTGACCCGATGAAATAGTTTTTAGGATGACCCAAAAAAAGGGCCCTGGGGACCTCTGTCATGTACACGTTCACTCTCCCTTCCCGGCCTCTCATGCCCTCGGAGCTCTGAAAGTGGCAGAGTCAATTTGACATGAGAGCGTCTGCCTGCCACTTTTAAAATTGTCCAGTAATGACACATCTTTGAAAGTGGTGCATACTCGATCCGCTGGTGCATAGTTCGATTCGCGGCAAATCGCTCGAGATGCTGATGCGCTCCTACCCCCGCAATTCGCTAGCCGTTCGCTGGATTCGCGAGGTCTGACTCCTACCGGAACATTCTTTAGTATTGGCTGATGATACCATGTCGAAATACCGAGTTTGACATGAGGTATGGCAGTAGACGCCTGAGATGATTTCTTTTGACTATACTGAGTCACTTTATGTAGAAGAAACAGCGAATGCCTTCTCATTTATAACTCACAAGTATGACCCACGCCAAATTTAGCCAAACGATTAGCTTCACGACTACGACATTTCGTTCTCTATTAGTCACATATATACTTTTTCCCTTTGCAGTGCAATGCGATTTCCAAGCTCGCGATCAGTATGTGCTTCCATTTCGAGCTCTTCGATTAATACCTTTTCTTCACCTCATTTACTGTTACTGTTTTTCACAGAGTATTATTATTGTAATTATGGATTAATCAATACCTATGTTAATGCCTATCGATATTATTTGTATAAAATGTTAGTAGTCTTTGTTCAGACCTATCCACGCTAAGCCGTGGTCCGCGTCACGTTGAATTTCGTACCTTCTCTGCTCTTTTTCAAAGTCAGCAGCAGCGCAGATAAACGCGTTTTGTAAAGTCGCCAATGTTGACTGTGTTGTTTCTTTTCCAATCGAATCTATATTCTGAGGAAAGAACATTTGCCTTTTTTGTTTTGACAAGTCTCTGACATTTCATCTCCAGCCTTGATGAACAAATGGGGGGGGAAGAGCATGCACTGAATGGATGCACACGTATGAGTTCTCATATCTTGTCTTTACGACTTTGAATTACCGCAAGGAACCCCACCGATACTGTCTTTAACTCAACTTCTTTGTGATTTCTTATTTACATGTGCAATGTATAAAGTCTTTATATTTCTAATTCCGGTCCTATCTCATCCACTTGTCGCGACGTTCATAATGGAGTTCCCGACACTAATCAGGACAACTGAAATTTAGCTTCAGCTCTGGACGTAATGTGGCTCCGGGGGCATCGTGTAACATTGCGTCAGATTAACGAAAACTTCCAGATCTGGGACTGAGCTTTGGAGGAAAAGGGAATCTGAGCTGCGTAAGCAATTTTCAATCACTCCGGAATTTGTCCCTCTGCATTAGGCTTAGTCCCAGTGGCCTTCCGACAGATGGCTCCCCGAAGGCACATTGACGCCAGCTCTGCCCACACCGGTGTAAACCCCACCCAGCTTGCACCCCTCCATTTCAAAAAACAAGAAGGGCGTCGGGTGGATTACACACCACAAGTGACGACGGCCAAGAAAGTTGCTTCTTGGACTTGCTGTCGAACCGACCCTGCACCGTTGC